ATGCAAATCTTAAGAACCAACATCTCTTTGTGTGATTAAATGACAGATGTAAGAGGGCAGTAGACAAAGCATCCCCTTATAAGCAAAAATGTACCAGTGTTCTAACCTCCTGGGAGACAAAGAAGACCAACCCACTCAAGACTTTGATAGAGCTGAGTACATAAGAGCGTGAAGGCATTTTGAGCAGCACCTTTCTGTACGCGCTTGCCAACACATTAGCGATAAGTAGCAGCCCTTGCATTGTGAGAATTGACGGTGAGCTGGTGGGAGAAGCTGGTGTGAAGAAGGAGTTAACTGTATAAAGGGGAAAGATAAACACATTACAGCCTCTCTAGTCATCGCAAGTAACATAATGAACTCCTAATCACAGCTGAGGGCGTCGTTCATCTATGAAATCAGCAGCAAATTGAGATGAGCCAAATCACTCTCTGATCCATCTCTTGCAGTCGCTTAGCAGGAAGGGTATTGAGCGGTGCGTCTCTCAAAAGGTTAGAGTAACACTTTCCTGCCGGTGTCGATATTCTGCCCGCGAATAGGAACCTGTGTGTGCTCCATGTTTTGTACACAGCGCATGGGTAAGTGCACACCGGACCTGCTGCAGCCACGCATTTGTATTCAGCCACTGACGGCTCAGATAAGAGACACAACAATACTCCCACGGGGCCAAACGTCGCACTCTCAATCACGTCCATTGCTGCTGTCGAGTGTTTTGTCCGACGCAGCTGCTCCGATCGGTAAGGGCCGAGGTTTAACGGGCTTGTTTGCTTACATTTTGGACATTTACGAAACGTCGATTTGTTTGTGTCTTATAGTGTGGACTCTTGTTATTTGGTAGCTGGTTTTAATTTGACATTAGTTCTCTTGTAAGATTAGATAGACCTTTTTTCGTCCTAATTTCAATATCATCGTTGCGTACGTTACAGCAGAATAAAAGGAGGAAACAGGTTATGCTCACATCACACAGGATCTAATCCTTAAGACAATAGATAATAACATAAAAGACAGCTCTGGTGCTATAATTGCACTTGTGTTAAGGATAAGTCACCAGTGGAGTATACGCTGTCGTTGGCAAAATCATGATGTATTCACAGATCATCTTGTTGCTAACGACATAATCGGTCGTTAGCAACAATGAAAGATCATGTGGTTTACAAGTCGCAGGTAAAGTGATTAGCGCAGGTAAAGTGACAGGTGGATTTGTCAAAACAAAAAAAGTAAAATCAGAAAAGGACAACATTCTGTCTTTATCTTATTATAAGTAATTAAGTAAGTAATGTTTATTTATATAGTGTATTTTACAGACCAAGGTCACCCAAAGCGCTTTACAATGTTCAGAGTTCAGATATTGTTCCAATCATTCCACACACGGTGATGACGGAAGCGATTCACCGAACACACTGGACCATCAGCCCCCAATCAACACCATCCATTCACTCTCTCATTTACATTCATACCTAAAGTACATGTTTTTAGTGATAGGGGAAACCGGAGCACCTGGAGGAAACCTACGCAAACACAGGGAGAACATGCAAACTCCACTCAGAAAGGCCCTGTTCCGACCAGGATTCGAAACCAGGACCTTCTGTCTCAGCCACCGTGCCGCCCTTTTGTCTACTCCCCATTTGTTGCGGGTCCATTGTCTATATCGCTCCGTTTTCCACGTTCCTGTGTTCTGAATGGATTTTTTTAGTTTTTATTTTGGACTGGATGTTTTTGTGTTATTATTATTATTTTCTATTTTTCAAAGGAGGTGTGCGCTAAACGCTTTCACAGCGAAGGTAATAAGAGAGTGAAAAACAATGCAGAAAATATATTGGATTCCAGTGAGAATTGTTCAGATATTCATGGTTTTCAAACAATGGCAGCAGTCCTTCGTTGCAGTAATGAGACAAAATCCTGTTAATTTGAAAATTGTGAATTAGAAAGCTGATCCAGAAAAATGTTTGTGGTATTGTTTACCTGGGACCAATCTGTTTATGGCATTAGCGTCAGAAATAATTACTACATCTGCTAAACTGCATTTATAATTACAAAAGTAACTAACTAATAATAAAAGGCGTAAGTAAGAAGAATGATAAGTATCTCAGGTGCTCTTTTGCTTGTTTAACCACTGTTTATAATTCATTTGATTAAAAAAGATTGTTATAGTGCAGCCATTCCCAAACTCAGTAACACCGAGGCCCCCTTAAAAATCTGACGGGTCTGCGTGGCCCCCCAAAATAATAACCAAGAAGACAACATTAAGAATAGGCTCTTCTGGTTATTTTCCATCCATTTTCTACCCTTTAATCCATTTCTGGGTCAGGGGGGTGGCAGTCAGAGATGCCACCCAAGTCTCATAGCACCAGCCCCTCACTGACCCTCTGCAGGTGGTGAGTCCACAGGAGGACGGCTGCTCTTTGAGTGTGAGCATAGCCTTGATCTTTCAGTGGGGGCTTTTGGGCAAAGTGGGGTTAAGTGTCTTGCCCAAGGACACAACGACAGCAGTCATCAGTGGGAGTCGATGGAGAAGGTGCAGAGGTGGGAATTGAACCCACGACCTTCTGGCCTTAAGGCCATTGCTCTACCAACTGAGCTACTGTCGCCCATTTTGGGGAAATAGCCTGTGCTACAAACATTGTAATACAAAAATGATTACAGTGGATTATTCAAGTCAAATAATGAACACAAATATTTTAATATTACAAACAAAACATTATAAATTTAACATTAAATAATTATATTATTTTTTTTATGACCTCCCGCGGCCCCCCTGCAGTACCCTCGCGGCCCACCAGGGGGCCGCGGACCCCACTTTGGGAGACACTGTTATAGTGAAATATGACAGCAGTGTTTGAAAAAAACTGGTGTGAGCCCTGTCTGTGTCACATAATTAGGATTATGGCAGCAACTCACAGTAGTATAACTAACTAGTAAAGTTCTATAACGTTGGAATAATAATAACATTTTTCTGTTTCTGCTTTAGAGTAATTTCATAGTTAAGTTTGTTCCTTAACCTCACTGTAACTTCAGTAAATATTGGCCAAAATCTGCATGTTCCTCATTCAGCATAAGTTTGAGGACGCCTGTTTCTACCTTGGCTCATGTCCAAGACTCATGCCCAAGAAAAAGCAGAGTCTGTGTGAAAAAAGGTATATAGCAGTATATTCCTTTTATAACACAAGATGTCAAAAAGCGTTCTCTGAAAACTTGCCGTTCGGACTTTTGAAAGAAAAAGGAGGAAAATAGCTGCATTCTCCTCGCATTGTTGGACACTTCATCTGCTTCAGGGTCATCGATTATCCTGTTCTAACCTTGTTGTTGATCCACAGTAAAAGGCTCAGTTAATTAACAAAAAATAGCAATAAGCAACAAAAATCATTGCGTTGTTAAGCACTAATAGAAATAAAGATCAAGACATGAACCAAATAATTGTAATCAGCATGGTATAGTCTGTATCTGTAGGCATTAGTATGGGCCTCGTCAAATGGAGTCAGACCCTAATTGCCTCCCTCCCGGTCTCCAAAACAAGCCACAGCAGCGAGTGGCGAGCCCGAGGCGAAGAGTTGAGATAATGGAATTTGGAGCTGCTTTCACCCCCGACCACGACAGTTGCTGAACTCCGCAGGGTTCTGGTCCTAAGCATCAGGCTCCTCTGGCTCTCAACCATTATTTCTAACAGTATAATCGTGGGGTGGGTCGTCTCAGGAACAGAAAGTAAAACAAACAAACAAAAAATGATCCGAGTGTAAGGGGACTAAATGTGCTCACCTTCTCCCACTGGGTTTTCATGTTTTCAATCTCTCTGTGCAAATAGTATTCAGATGAGACTGTGTTTGGAGAGGGATGAGAAGAAGCAAAAACTAATGAAATATGGTTCAGGGGAAAATGTTGAGAATAAATATATTGTATAAACAAAATATATAAAATGAAAGCCAAAGCGGTAGCACAGACTAGTGTACAGACTTTGCATCGCCACACACACACCCAAACTTTAAAGTACTGACTTGAGAGAGAAATAAACTTGAGAAACAGTACCAACTTCTGCAGAATCAAAACGGGCTATAAATCTGTGAATCTGAAGTCAAAGTTTTACAGAAAAGTTGTGCAAAACTTATATATTTTGGACTAGAGAATAGAGATTTAGCCAGAGATATTCTCGGCTCTGCTCCTAAGCGCTACTGGTATATTTTGATGCTGAGTATTATAATATCAAAGTATTACAAAATGATCTTCTGCAATTGGAAATGCTTTCACAAAACTCCTCCATTCAAAGAGAAAACAAGATCAACTGGAGACGCAAGCGAGAAGTGGCTTTGTTTTATTTTTCATTTTCTACTTTTTCTGGCACTATTTGGTGTAACGTCTCAGAAAAGAAGAAGCGCTACATTTTATTTAATGTACTGTAATTGATCCACTCCAATTCAAAAGCCAGCTTGCAAATATCTCAATGAACTAAAGAACAACATTCATGTAATATTTGTGTTCATTGTGTAGAACGAGCTTGAGAATAACCCCAGGACTAAGAAATCGTCACATCCAACCCAATTTGAGCTAGGGAAATTCAGACCACACCTATTCAATTCATGCTTTTTTTAAGTTTACTAAGTCCACTACTTTAATTCCCAGTTAGTCACGTCTAAAACCCTTTTGGTTCTAGTCTTGTCGTAGTCCAATCCAGACACAGGGGTCTAAAAGCTGATGTAGGTTATTACTTTCATTTATCACAAAAAAGTTGAAGTCACTATGAAATCGTAATTGGGTTAAAAGTTTGCAATGAGCAATTATCCGACTCTGAGACGATCCGGCCCTTGAGAAATATAAACTTTAACTGCCCTGATGAAGACAGGAGGCGTGTGACAGACGTTCATGAGTTCTTGATATTAGTGTGGGTAACAATTGGTTTTTAATGAAGGGAATAAAGTTGTGATTTCACGTAAAATGTGTCCTTAGGATCAATACATAGTGAGCATGATATGTCCTAGTAACTGAAACATATCCGATATACTGAAAAGCCTTACCTTCTCTGCAGACTGAGCCGTGCCGAAGAAGATGGGGATGAAGGCCAGCCAGACTATACAGGTGGTGTACATGGTGAATCCGATGGGCTTGGCCTCATTGAAGTCCTCTGGTACGTCCCTGGTCTTGATCGCGTATATGGTGCACGTGACCATGAGCAGGATGCTGTAGCCCAAAGAGCAGATGATCTGGAGGTCTGTGATGTCACATTTCAAGACGCCACGAGCCAGCATTGGGTTTACAGTTTTCTGTTCGTCATAGTCTATAATCGTGTCCGGAGGGGCCACTGCAAACCATACCAACACGCCTAAGAGCTGCACACATATGAGGCTTGAAGTGATGGCGATTTGAGACGTGGGGCTAATAAATCTGGGAGCGGTGACTGTCTGCTTTCCTTGTTCAAAAATCCTATAGATGCGGTTAGTTTTGGTGAGGAGGGCGGCGTAACTTATGCACATGCCCAGCCCGAGAAAGATCCGTCTAAATGCACACACGCCCACGTCCGGCTTGGCAATCATGAGGAAAGTGATGATGTAGCACAAGAATATACCAGTTAGCAGCACGTAGCTTAGCTCGCGCCCAGACGCCCTCACTATCGGCGTGTCGTTGTAGCGCACGAACGTTGCCATGACAAAAATAGTAGCAATTATTCCCAGCATGGCCAGGAAGACAGGGATGATAGCCCAGGGAGAATGCCACTCCAGTTTGATGATCGGGATGGGCTGGCAGGCAGTCCGATTGGGGTTGGGTCTCATGTTGTAGGTGCAGAGGCGGCAGGAGGTTTCGTCAAACTGGTATTGGTATCCGTCGCACAGCTCGCAGTGCCAGCAGCAGGGTTTGCCCTTCACTTTCTTCTTGCGTTCCCCGGTCTTACACGGCAGACTGCACACGGAGAGGGGCACGTCCAGGTCGCCATCGGGCCACCGCAGCTCCTCCACCTGAGACAGACACACCACGTCGAAGGAGAGAGTGAGGTTTAGAATTTAGAATGAGGTTCATATGACAATGAAGCCACTCATAAAAGTTATACTAGTATTTGACAGTTGTGGATCCAATTAAACATTTTCAGTTTTATTTCACATTCTGATTATTAAAAGGATTATTGGCAACAAGAGTGCACATTTTTGGTCTTAAACTAAGCCTGTAAATAAATTATGTTTTGTCACACCCCCCCACATCCAAATAGCTCGTTCCTCAAGTGAAGGAATGTGGCTACTCTATTCGACTGTTATTATAAGAAGAGAGCTGATTCAAAGCTCTTGATTTGACCGATATATGTTCCCACCTTTACCTATAGTCATGAGCTCTGGGTAATGAAGAAAAGTGAAAGATTTCAGTTGCAAGATTTCGGTCACAATGTGAGGACAGCTGAAGGGACTGCGTCTCTCAGCTGCCCTGGGAAGACCTTGGTATTCTCATTGATGATCTGGAAGATGCATGAAGAGGAAAATTGGGCATCTCTGCTCAGCTATCTGCACGCGTGACCCGGCCAAGGAAGAGAAATGGATGGATAGAGAATAATATGAAACTATGTTGCTAAAGAAAAGAAAACCTTGATGTCTAATAGTGATGCCTTTAACTACTTTTAAGAGCATTATTATTATTAGAGAAACAGAGAGTGTGCTGCTAATGTGGCTAGTCCTTGTTAGCCGACTGTGAACTGTGCTCAGGGCTGTGAAAGTTATGAAAAAAATTATTAGTAGGTGACAAAGTGAGGAATAGCAGACTTCAATCTGAACTTTTGTTTTCTTTCTTTGCCAAAACGATGTGCTAGATTTTAGGAATGCACTGCTACATTACTGGTATCGGTGGAAAAAATTGGAAAATGCGTTTAATTGGATTTCAAATCAACAACGTCAATTAGCCAATATTCTGATTAGGTCTTTCAATTCATGTAATAAGACCAATTACTAGCTGATATTGATATAGAATAGTAGAATTCTCTCTTGGAACATTTTGTTCTGTAGTTACTTGCAAGACAATTTTTTTGTTATAACTGTAATTTGTGGATAACATTCACCAGAAGGTTAGTATTTCGTAGGTAGTTATTAGGTTAGGGAGGGGGATACAGAAATGCTGTGGGACGAAATGCCAAGATTTGAGAGTCCCATTTTGCTTTCAGTCCTTGGTATCAGTTCATATTGAGTATCAGATTCACAGCTTAAGTATGGGTATCAGAGATAAACAAGCCAAATTGTTGCACCCCTACTCTCTTTGCACACAGTCATATGAAAATCAATATATTTCTTGGGCGGCACGGTGGCTGAGTGGATAGCACTCTCGCCTCTCAGCAAGAAGGTCCTGGGTTCGAATCCCGGCCGGACCAGGGCCTTTCTGAGTGGAGTTTGCATGTTCTCCCCGTGTCTGCGTAGGTTTCCTCCGGGTACTCCGGTTTCCCCTACCACTAAAAATATGTCCAATAGTTCTGGCATGCGCCTCCTGTACTGGCCCCGCTCCCATCTCTGTGTGGAGTGAGAGACAAATGCCCAAAATTAACAATTGTAAACCGCTTTGAGACTCAGATCTGCAGTGAAAAGGCGGTATATAAATAATAACTTACTAACTTACTTACTTCTACATAATTGTTAATCCAAGCTGATTAAATCCAGCTCCCTTTGCATGTCATTCAGCAATATTGCGTTCCTCAACATTGTTACAGTCCTCAGCACAAATATGATCCCAGCATTCCCCCATACGCTTTGTGCAGTAATACCCACTTACATCTGAGAGCTTCACTAATGCATCACCTGAACCATGGATACTCAAGTGTCTGGAAGTGGCACCGTCCAATAAGAGCTCACGTCTCCCACACACATGTCCCCTGCGTCTGTCGTTAGCATTGTGCGCACCTGTATGACAAATGTGTTGTTTCTGTGCTGCCTGGCTCGATTATCATCTGCCATTTATCTGAGGCCATGAAGGTGCCATTTGTTATTTGGACAATGAATGGCGCTCACTGGAAGAGTGCCCGATTACACACAGAGAGGAAACAGTAATGAGACCATCGACAGCGTCACCATGGAGACCGCAGCCATGATTTGACACCTCGGACTCAAACCGGCGCTGTACTTTTCATTGGTGTTTGGATATGGTTCAGTCCACAGTCAGTCTCTCTAGGTGTTTTGTTGTTTGTATATGTCACCTTTCATTTCAGACTGACCTTGTAATTTTCGAAGGCTCGTTAATGAACTCCATTAAACAAAAAAACAATGTTAATGTTGTGTGCAATGTGATGGAGATTTGTACTTTGTGTATAACTAATACATTTGGAAAATAATTAAAGCAGCAGTATGTAAAAATCTGACCAAAAGTGGTACTGCTACTTCCCCCAGTCTCCCTGACTCAGGTTGCCAGATATGCAGACGAATCCAGTTGGGAACATAGTATCTGAATAGTCAAGAGTTTAGTAAAATCTGTAACCAACACCCCGATAGAAATCCAAGTTTTATTCCTTGTTTTGTCATTAATGATCTGAGAATCATAACGAGACCTTTTTTACACTGTGGCCACATATCAGTGTGCTTAGCTCGACACTTTAAGTTCTGGCAACGCAGATCACAGACTTTGGTGAAATGCAGGAGGGCGGGACATCGATATGAAAACAAAAACAAGATTTAGGGGCTGTAAAACTAATTTTGAAATTTTACTATCTCTGCTGAACTACTGTTATCAGTTTAAGAAGTATTCAAAAAGAGCATGTTTTATTAATGCCTTTTGAATATTACATAATGCTACTTTAAATGGTATTTTAGAGATACACTTTCTAATTTTTCTGCTGGTCCACTCCTTACATTGAAATGTTATTGTTATGCCTGGAATGTACAAAATCTATTAACATTTATGTATTTTATCTGTATTTGCAATCTGTTTTTTTAGATGGGACGGTGTGTATTCATGACCAGCAGGTGCTGTAAATACACCAGATTGTAGCTATGTAGCTAATTTGCATCTGCAGTCCCTCAATCACACTCACAAACACACTCATTCAACCCTCACCTAGTGTTCATGTTTTTTGTAGTTTGGGAAAGTACTAGAGTACCTGGAAGAAACCTATACAGACACAAGGAGAACATGCAAACTCCAAACAGACAGACCCTGTATGGAGGTAGAATAGACCCTAGGACCTTCTTGCTGTGAAGTACAAGTGCTATCGGTCATCTGCATCTTATGGACTAATGTGTTTTTTATCTTTGATTTCCTCTATTTTCCCTTGAACTATTTGATTCTCTGATCTGTGTTGTCAAACTGATAACTTTGTAATGTCTTCCAAGATAACTGCTGTTTTTAAGTTAGGCTCTACAAAAATAAATTAAACTGAATTGTTCTACAGTATTGCTAGCTTTATCATTAGCATCACGCCATAGAATCTTCCCGGTTGGTACCATAAGTGTTGGTACCCCATTTTACAAGCATAGCTCATCGGAATTGAGACGTTATGGATTCCCTTTGTATAAAAAAAAGGCTGTTTAAACACATGGGGTTGTTATGGAATTCTGGGTACAATTACATACTTCCTGAATCCTGTCACAAAACTGGAACCCTTTCATTTCCACGGCAACAAGAACAGTCCTAATTTTTGCTTCTAGCTGGCTTCAGTGTTACACATTTGTTACTCATCTCTGGTGTCTGCTGTAAACGTTTCTCTAAACTCTGCTTAAATGGATTACTGATACATGTGGAAGAAAGAGTGGTATCACAAAGTGCTTATGGACAGATTTTGTTTGTTGAAACCAACTGGATTGACTGCATTCAACCACAGTCCCAGGAAAACAACCGATAGTGCTAATGCCAAAGGTTGAGCTAACCTTGATTTAGTTAGACACATGTCTGATTCTGCACGGTGTAATGTGTTATTATAAATGAGGCTTTCATAATGAGTCAGCAGTATGTTTAAACACCTCATCTATCAACATTTATTAATCATGCTGAGTCCAGTTACGGTATATTCCAAGGGTTTATTAACAGCCAAGACTCGCTAAAATCTTGGCATTTCTTCCCGGACTGAGAAAATTCAGTTTGATTGTTATTTCTTTATTACACATTGCAATTAAGTATCAAAATCAGGATATGATTGGGGTTAAGCTCAGAAACAGCACATTTGGCAAAGGTTGGCGCAGGGAGATAAGACAGGGTTTGCTTGGAGGGAACAAAATACCAAGATTCTAGAGAGTTCCAGGTTTGTTTCCAGCTATGGTCTATTGCTGTTGCTGCTTAATAATATTCCTCGTGTACGAAAGCATTTGTTAGCACAGTCAAATGCTCACATGTTAGCAGCTAATGTTGGCATTACAGTGTCTGGTTCTTTCAATTGTGCTAATCCGTTGCTAACAGGCAGAAAACTCTCAAAAGTAGCACTGCTTGGTGAAATTAGGCTCATATGTGCCATATTCCTCCTGGGCTGTCAGAGGTCCATGTGTGGAACATACTGTATGAGCAGGGATCAGACTGGATTTCAGGCCGTGGTGAAATAGCTGAAACAGTCTGGAGGAATGAGTAAATCTGCTGATGCTGGTGAAGCACGGCTGAATTCAGGCAGCTGCTTCTGACCAGTTGTTTTCTCGACTTGAGCAGCGTTCATGCGCATCTTTTAACTCAGGCCGGGTCACAAGGTGAAAACCAGCAATAGCATAACATCTAATCTACATTAGAGACAAGGATACAGGACATATCGGCAAAGAGATGAGCCAATTTTTCTGCCAATTTTGAGCAGAAAAAACATGTCATTGAATGATGTTAAGATGTTGTAAGATGTTTATCTAAAAGTTTAATTAACTGGCGCAGTTCCCATAGCAGTCGTGAAGTGAGTTGGTTTCCCCAAAACAGGTTTTAAATAGGTTTTATTCTCACAAAAATGCAGAAATATGGCATCCACTCCATTGTAATATACGCAAGTCGTATCCAAATGTAAGAAGTTCTTTTGTCTCATTGAAATGCACAG